TCAACAATATTGTGATATCCAGACCTTTCACCAGACAATTCACCAGACTGGAGCACAAGGTGACCGATGCTGTAGTGCAAGCCGGAGGATGTTGAGATGGGCCACATTTCTCAACAAAAGACTTTGGCCAGAGGTATGGAGACTGGGGATGCCAAGCCCCAGATGCCCCCCCCCCCCCAATACACTCTGTGCACTTGGGAGCACTTCTCCAACCGCCCTTAAGATCTCAGCACACCCAATAAAACTAAAGTCAATCAGATGGACTTCTAGAATTAATCGAAGACAGGAATAAGGATTTTGCCGAATATCTTGTGGGCTTGGTCCATGGTCCAGGGCTCATCATCCAAGACATATTTGCTCAGACTGCTGCATGGTCTCCAATTTTCATTATGAAACAAGTTGCATTGTTCCAGTTCCCATTTTCACAGTCCATATGTTAGAGTACAGTTACTGGCTCTCACTTCTGCAGCAGCTGGCCCTGCGGGTGAAGAGCGCTTACTCGCACAGACCAGAGCGGCTGAGCTCTGAATGTTGTTTTAATTATCTGCTGCACAAGACGTGGTTTATAGACCGCATCTTGAAAGTGTTTGAACTGAACTGCCTTGCACTTTGCCAGCCTGAACGTTCTGCAGGCGATCTGTCCCTGTCCTGGACAGCCAGCCTGTTTTAATACTGTAGCGTTTGGGTCCCATGGCTCTTACCTCTGTTGTGGTGTGTCAGAAACGTCCAGTTAAGGCGATATTCGGCCCCAGATGAGGTTGTTTGCCGATCTTAATGTTTATGAGGAATCTGCCAGCACTAAAGTTATTTATGTGTGCGTTTGTTTGTATTATAATTTTAACCAGATGTTTTATAATGTTATAATAAACTTATCAGAGATATGCAGAGCGTGTTGAAAATGGGTTTCCTTCACAAAAGCTTTTACAGCCAGTAAACTGTATTTGCTCTTTAAATGAGGTCGTTTACTAAAGATAACAAGTCAATCGAATCCAGCTGTTTTCCAGAGCGTGCTCTAATGCGCTTGCACAGGTGTTCTGTGTGGCCGTGTGGACAGTGCAGTGGCTCAGTGGACACAGGAGGGACTGTCCAGGTGTGCTGGGAAGAGCTGTGTGGTTCCTCGCCCACGGACACTGGGTTGGTTTTTATTGTCTGGGCCGGCTTAAACTGCAGTGCCCAGCTCCTGCTTCTTCTCAGTCTTGTGAATGTTTTCAAGCCGTCTTCCTGACTGACGGTCCTCCTTCCTTCCTCCCTGCCTGCCTGCTCACCTCTTGTCCTCGCTGGACAGCCTCTCTGACCAGCCTGCTGTCCCTTAGGGTGTTTGATGTTGAAGCTGCCCCTCTGTTGCTTGGCCTGTGACTGAACTCTTGGAGAGGTGCTCTCCTTGAGGCTTAAGCATTGTGCTCACCTGCTGAGCCCTGATCCAGTCAGGACAGGCCCGGCAGCACCTCTCCTGCCCCCTCCAGCCTGGTGCAGCTTGTGTGTCTGAGCAGGAGGCTGAATGAAGCCCACCTGTCCCCCGTCCCCTGTTCCTGCCCCCCTGCTGAAAGCGG